CAGCTGATCACCAGCAGGAGGTAAAAGGCATTTGTGTAACATCGCCCTCCAGAGCACTGAGGAGCATCAACCTGCAAAAGGAGATACTGCTTTTTAGAGTATGATGTTAATGCTTTACTGATTATAAGAACTGATTATATTTTATCCATCCCAGATTTGAGGGATTTCTATGGCTTCTTACCTGGTAGGATTTGGTCCACAGTCAGCTTTTCTCTTTCAACAGATATTCACAAGAATGTAATCAACCCATCTGAAGAGAACCTGGTGAAAGAAGAAATCTTGCACAACAAACACAGAGAACTTAAAGACAAGCTAAGAAGCATCAACCAGGGGTTTGAGCGTTTGCGTAAAGTCAGTCACCAAGGATATGATGCAACCAGTGGTACGATTCAGTGGTATTTTTTTCATGTTTATTTGGTATCAATTTTATTAAACAAAAGTCAGTGAGCAAGTTAATTCATTTAATCATAGTAAATTCATTTAATCATAGTAAATTCATTTAATATGGGAAGGGATATTACACTTTCTGCAACAGAGGGCTGTTAAGTTAGGCAATGTGCAGGGCAAACAATGGCATTGATTAGTTTGGGGGATTTTTTTTTTTTTTTTTTTTTTTGCTTTTAAATCATCCTTTTAAATAAATGGTTGCTACAATACTATTGTTTCAAGTGAAGTTCTTGGACTTTTCTCCCTTTTTATCTGAGTAGATCTATTAGTAATATATTGTTTGGTGTATCTGCATGCTTATCTTGCGTAAAAGTAGTATGTCCAAATTTTCATTTGGTGATATGTGTTTGTTTAGAATTTGAAGAGCCAAGAGTGATTGATTTGTGGGACATGGCAAAATCAGCCAATTTCACTGAAAAAGAGCTAGAATCTTTTCGGGTAAGTACAATTCCAGTAAGATCTCCCATGGAAAGATATTTTCCCACATAAAGAAATACTCCATGTTACTCTTAGGGCAGCCAATTCTATATTGCTTTTCAGGCATCAGAAAAAAAAAGTCATGATTTAATGTTTCAAATATATACATATATGAAACTATTCATGCATTTTCCTAGGAGGAGCTGAAACACTTTGAAGCAAAAATTGAAAAACATCATCACTATCAGAAGCAATTGGAGATTTCACACGAGAAACTGAAACATATAGAGGGGACTGGAGATAAGGAACATCTGAACAGAAACAGAGAGAAATATGCCATGCTAGAAGAAAAGACAAAAGAGCTTGGATATAAGGTCTGTATAAATCCAGTGTACATACCTGCTGAAAATTAGACTCATTAGTGGAGGGAATGTCAGTTACACAGTGCTAATTTTTTTCATGCAGGTAAACATCTTCTAGAAGAGGAGGCTAAGGCATACCTGTGCTTCATGTTTAATGCAGAATAGGCATGATTGGTTTTTACAGACCTAATTCTAAAATGCCCAAAAATGTCCTAGTCTCAGCTCTTCCTAAGAGCTGCCACATGTACTAATAACAAAATCTGAATATATTAGATTGATTCATTTATTCTTGTAGCATCATTTGTTGTCGTACTGAAATTTGTTTCCTTTTTCTGCTAGGTAAAGAAGCATTTGCAAGACTTATCCAGCAGAATCTCTCAAGGTCTTCAACACAATGAGTTATAAACATCTGTTCTCCTTCATGGGATCAATTTATGAACATAAAACAAATTACAGAGGGATTTTATGAACAGGGTTAACCAAGCAGTCCTTCTGAAATGCTAAGGATTGAAGAGTTGTCCAGTAAGAAAACATTCTGTGGTCCACTTAGTTTTGTATATTTGCACTATCACAATAAATGATTACATTATAAATCTGAATCAAGTAACAGCCTTTGAAATAAGTCACGTCACAAAAAGTGTGAACTCTCAGAAGATTCCTGCTAGTAAAATTAATACTGATCTTATAGTTAGTCAAAGTATTCTGATCAATGAAAGCAAACACCTGAGGTGCAGGTTGTTAAAGTTAAGAGAAGTTTAATATTTCGTTGTTTGGTTTGATGCATTTTCTACTGAAGGTAATTAAAATGTTTGTACTTGCTGAGCATTGACTCAGAGCTGCACTGTATATGAACCTTTCATGTGAGAGGAGGAAGACGAATAAGGAAGGAATAAGTATTGTGGTCAGTTCGCAAAACTTGCAGACTAACACATCTGAAGTTACTGAATGTGTGTACAATTGTGTCATTGGTAGTTGCTTGGTTTTGTTACTTAGTCATTAAAAATTAAAACAAGATATCAGTGAGGTGTTTTTTTCTTCCCTTTTGTTGGAGGACAAGTAACCAGATGGAATTTTTTTGAGCATATATGCTTATTGGAATTGAAGTTAACTCACACATATGTGCTTATTGGAATTGAAGTTAACTCACACATATTTTTTTAATACAGAAGGTTAGTTTTCACAAGAATGTGATTCTGTATTCTGAATAGAGAGAAGGCTTTCTAAAGCAGCTTGTCTCTGAGTATGTACTCCAGTAAAACATTCCGTCAAAGTTTCTATTGCTTTCTTTACAATACCAGCTCTTCCTGTTGCACATCAGAACTTTGGCCACTTGGATTGAAACTTTCTATAACAGTAATGATGACCCTTTATTTCTAAGGATTTTTTCTTATGAAACTGCCAGGAGCAAGACAAAGGCAAAGGTCCAGCATAAGTAAATCATTACAGCTGCTTGGTTGCAAAGCTCTGTCAATCTCACAGAGCTGTAGCATGCCAGTTTAGGAAACTGCCTTCAAGTCTTGCTTGCTATATCTGTTCTGTGAGAAGCAGTAAAGAGAGACAGTTTGTCAAAATCAGCCACTGTGTACATTATTTATCCAGGTCCTGAGTCCATGGTGGGTTGAAAGTAATATGATTCTGCACATAGAGACTACTTCATAACACGCAGGTGATTTTAATGAAAACAGTGGTAGAGTCCTACCGTGAGATTTTGAATGCCTTACATTGCAGCAGGAAGTAATTTTTTACTGGTTTTGTTTTAATGTAAGCTGTTATTTATACTTCAGAGAATCGTTGTTCATCATTAGAAACGCAGACCACAGTGAGTGAGAGTAAATCAATAACAGTTCTTAAAAATAATATGATTTAGATGTCTCCAGGGAATTGAGAGAATATTGGTAGCTTTCTGATTCTGGGAGCACCACTTGTGTCTGCAGTGACATTGCCAGCGATGTTCCAGATCTAGACTTCAGCCTAAGCACCACAGTTGATTGCTTTTGGTTGCATAAGAGACTTGAGCATAGCCACATTCATGGTGCTAGATCTCCCTCTAGCAGCTGTAGTGCCAAAGGTGGCATTCAGTAAGTTTTAGAGCAACCTCTATGTTTTCAGCTCCAGGATTTCATTAAGAATGGTCTGAAGCAAAGTTAACTGATGTACTGTTCCATAGATAATAGAATTTGTAGAATTATTTCTACTGTAGCTAGAGGCAACTGAAAGTTCCAGTAAAAGTTCATCATAGAGATAGTTTGTGTCATTTGTGGTGCATGTCTCCTTTGGTTGGTAAGCTAAAAAAAAGTAAACCCAAAAATAGTGTGGCTGATTCTAGTTAAGAAAGAGAGATCTGTTTTTTTCTGTTAGCTGCATGCCATGCACAAGAGCATAGAGCACAAAGCTGGGTGTGTACCTGGAAAAGAATATGTTTTGTGAAGAATTCCTGAAATGCTGGATTCACAGAGCGCATCCAGGTACAGAGCAACAATAGTAATGCTTGTCTCACAGCGCACAGTTGCTTCAACACAGCCTCAGCACTCACAGAATCACAGGGTTGGAAGGGACCTCAAGGATCATGAATCTCCAGCCCCCCTGCCACAGACAGGGCCACCAACCTCCATATTTAATGCTAGACCAGGCTGCCCAGGGCCCCATCCAATGTGGCCTTGAACACCTCCAGGGACAGAGCATCCACAACCTCTCTGGGCAGCCTGTTCCAGTACCTCACCATTCTTCTCTGTGAAGAATTTCCCCCTGACATCCAAACTAAACCACCCCTCCCTCAACCTAAAACCATTTCCCCTTGTCCCGCAGTTATCAACCGTTTCAAACAGTTGATTCCCCTTCTGTTTGTAGGCTCCCTTTAGGTACTGAAAGGCTGCAATGAGGTCACCCCCTTTTCTCCGGGCTGAACAAGCCCAGCTCCCTCAGCCTGTCCTCATAGAGGAGGTGCTCCAGTCCCCTGATCATCTTCGTGGCTCTTCTCTGGACCCTCTCCAACAGCTCCCTGTCTTTTTTGTACAGGGGGCTCCACACTTGGAAGCACTACTCCAGATGGGGCCTCACAAGAGCAGAGCTGAGGGGGACAATCACCTCCCTGTCCCTGCTGGCCACCTCTCTTTTGATGGAGCCCAGGATACCATTTGCCCTCTGAGCTGCAAGAGCACACTGCTGGCTCAGGTTAAGCTTTTCATCCATCAAGACCCCCAGGTCCTTCTCCACAGGGCTGCTCTCAACCAGTCTGTACGGATGCCTGGGATTCCTCCGGCCCGAGTGCAAAATTCTGCACTTTGCCATGTTGAACCTCATCAGGTTCACCCGGGCCCACCTTTCAAGCCTGTTGAGGTCCCTCTGAATGGCATCCCTTCCTTCAACTGTGTCAACCGCATTGCTCAGTTTGGTGTTGTCAGCAAATTTGCTGAGGGTGCACTCGAAGGTGTTAAAGAGCACCGGTCCCAAGACAGACAGACCCCTGGGGGACACCGCTCGTTACCAGCTTCAACCTGGACACAGAGCCATTGATGACCACCCTCTGTCTGCGGCCTTTCAACCAGTTTCTTATCCATCAGGTGGTCCACTCATCAAATCCACATCCCTCCAATTTGGAGATAAGGATGTGGTGGGGGACCGTGTCAAAGGCCTCGCTCAAGTCCAGGTAAATGACATTGGTCGCCTTTCCCTTGTCCACCAATGCCATCACTCCATCATAGAAGGCCACCAGATTGGTCAAGCATGACCTTCCCCTGATGAAGCCGTGCTGGCTGTCTCGGACCACACGCCCATTCCTCATGTGATCAAGCATGTTATCTAGGATGATCTGTTCCATGATATTCCTAGGCACAGAGCTGAGACTCACAGGCCTGTACTTGCCAGGGTCCTCCTTGCTCCCTTTCTTGTAAATGGGAGTGATGTGACCCTTCCTCCAGTCATCCAGGACCTCACCTGACAGCCTTAAGCAGAGCTGAGGGTTGCACCAGATCTTTACCCAACACATCACAACAGTAATCAGGCTCAAACACTGGCCAAGCTACAGCGGAGTGGCTACTACTTCAGTGTACAGAGACTGACAACATATATTTACATGTTGCAGTAATTTAAAATTAGGAACAAGTCACAGATCATTAGTAAAAAAGGCTGGAAGACTGGTTTTAGTGCAATCATTTACTTCAGTTGTTGAACAAGGCTGTTAGTGAGTCATTAGGTACAAAGGTTGTTCATACAAACAGAGAAGAAAATGTTAAGCACCATTGTTTGCTCCTCCTAAATTCAGCTTCCTCCTGAAAGCCTGAAACACTCCAGCAATCAGATGTTGCAGTAGCACAGAGAAAACATTAGGAATGACTTCCATTGCTGCCAAGGCTCTTTGCTGCTTTTTTTGAGATCTGGAGAGAGTGCACAGGCTGACATCTGATTACACTGCTTTGAAAGTCTATGCCTTTTACCCAGCAGTATTTGTACAAGTCATTTTATTGAGGTTTTAAGCCAGAGACATTTCATACAACCAAAATAACACGAGTGAGTGGGCTTTGAGATGTTGCTTTTAAAAATGGCTTGAATCGTCCAACTCATGTAAAAAGCAACAAAAAATCAAAGCCAAGAAAAAGGATACTTGGATTTGTCTACAGTTCATGTATACAGTCCTGTGCCTAGTGCAGGTTGAATTATGGAGGCCACAGATGAGACTGCAGGGAAATGCCGACTGAATAGGAAAGCAGTAACTGATTTTCCAGGGTAGCTGAGGCTTCTCTTCCTTAACGGGTAATTTATCTGATTTATCTTGTAATTATTTAAATTATAGTTTTTCAAATCACTCTGGGAAAAAAAAAAAAAAAAAGGAAATACAAAAATAGGAGCAGAGAGGGAGGAAAAGAACTGTATTAGAAGGGGGAAAAAAGATCAGAATGTTTTGTGCTTTATACAGTCTGTCAAACTCTTCCCTAAAAGAAGAACCTCAAATTTGTTAGTGATTTCATACAGCTTGGGGGGTTAGAAAATTAGAGGTAAATATACACAAGGCACAGCATAAACAAAAATAACCACGTCTTTCTTAATGGAAACACCACGTCCTACGTACAGGTAGGGGAGCATCATTCTACCCTGACACATACGGAACAACCTCTACACCAAATGGACTGCAGTACTGATATCACCTTCACCCCCTGCAGAAGCAGCAAGAATATCTAAATTCATCATGTGGAGACCATTTATGTTTTGTGAGATGCATCTGAGGTGCCACCACTTCCCAGCCCCACCTCCTAGCAGCCATCCAGTTCCAGCACATATATACCACAGAACCAGAAACCAGGGCATCACAGTGGGAGCTGTGCTGCAGGGGACCTGTTTGGGAAGCACAAGTGCAGTGTTCAGCTCAGAACTAACCCATACAGAGTTAACACATAGTTCTCAGTTTGCAATATATTCATGATCCACAGACCTTCCATCATCATTTGGAGCTTTGGAGATGTATTTAAATTGGGTTTTTCTTTTTCTTTTTCTACAGGTGCTCTTTTATGTACAAAAATCTACCAGTGGTACACAAGCAATTTTGAAATCATTTTTAAACAGAACTTTTCTTTCCACAGCACTTAATTAGAATAGAATAAATAAATTTAAAAGTCACAAAATAAGTCAGTAAATAGGCTGTTTTTCAAAACAAACCTATCATTGTAAAGCCAAACAGGGAGCAGGTCATCAACCTACAGCAAAAAAAAAAAAAAGAGTGGATTTGTTATTATTATTATTATTACTAGTAGCAAGTCATAAAATAGAAGTGCAACTTTTATATCTGTCCAGTTGAGCCAAAATAAGTTCATAAACTTTCATCCAGAGAAAATACTTTGAGCCATAGCGTACAGTCACAATTGTCACACAAATGCTATCAATATTCCTTAATGCATTCATAAATCCAAATCCTCACATGTATTATCCTACACTCAACGAGCTCTCCTAAATTAAAAAAAAAACCTGTACACAGATATTAATGCTTCACATGGAGACATAAAAATGATGGGTACATTAATACAGCATGTAGCTGTTTTGTTCTGCCACTGATGTATTAACTTATCAGAAAGCTGCACACGTCTGCTTTAATAATAACATTTTGCCAGCCTCAAAAGTTGCCTGTCAAGAATTGATCTACCATAATTTAAACCTGGTGGTTTTCAAAGGGCAAAGTGAGTGCTGAATTTCTTTGAAATAAGTCTCTGACTAAAATAAATGTCTAATATTTTGCCGTTATAGTTTTCCAGGCCACTTATTTTAAAAAGGGAGGGAAACACCATTATTTTAAGAAACCTGCTGAAAACTGGAAACCTGCTTATGCAACCCAGCAATTTGCAATGCTTGGCATCAGATCCATATCCAAATTAAAATCTCAATTCAAGGTACGTGAACCAAAACCATTAATTACCAGAGAATCATTAAGGTTGGAAAAGACCACTAAAATCACCTAGTCCAACCACTAAATTGCCTTTCAACGGGGAAAGAGTTCATTCTCCACCCTCAACCCCATGTTCTGGGACTCCATTTATAATACTGAACATGAGTATAGACACTAGACCCATTAAACAGTGTAAAGAGATTCCACATACCAGCTCATGGGACCACTGGTGATCTCATATTTTGTTCTACTGTGAAGTTCAAAAAGCAAAATGGGAGAGAACAATGTAGAAAAACAGGCATCTCCAAAAGAAGAGGCTTCCATGGCAAGAGTTTAGGTGCCAAGAGTTACTGCAGATTTCAGTCCAACAGCAGGTTGCTGGCACCTCATTTTTGTTAAGAACTTTTCGGATTATAGTTTGTTCTTAGTCTGCACCAAACTAATGCAGATTCTCACACAAAATAAAACACATTCCAACCAGACAAGTACATAAATATTGCCTGGAAGACTGAAGGAACCTACCCTTTTCCAAGCCCTTCTTCAAACAGCTAATAGCCAGAATCTCTACAGAATGTATTGACGATGTCTGCTTTAGTCTCAGTTTGCCAGCATTGCTTAACCCTTGCCATTACCAATCAATTGATTCAAATCTTGTGCAAACTGATCTTCATTCCTCTGCAGAGACTAAGTTTGCAGAACTGCAGAGCCTTCATTTATGAGTTTCCAGAGATCTGCTTAGGGGTTGTTTTCCTTTTCATTTTATTGCCATCTCTATAAATAGCTATGCTGGAATTTTTGGAGTAGTTAAAAAATATGTATTTATTTATTTATTTAATTTAAAGTAGTTCTGCAGTATATATCCAGGATTACAGAAGAAACAGGAGTGAGCATTTTTAGCTACATGAATATAACAGGATTAAAACCGTGCTCTCTTTAGCTCCTTCAAACCAAGAAAAAGAGCAGCTCACCCTACTCAGCTTTGAGCACTTACCACTTTGCAGTGGAGACTGAGGGCAGGGGGTAGCTCAGGCTTTTTTCCCGCACTGGCAGCCTTTCTCCTTGGCCATCAAGTTTAATTTTATCTGCTTGCTTCCAGCTCTTCTGTGCTGTTCAGGGCAAACATCTTGTCTATATATGCAATGGGTTTCCTGTGAAAACCCAAACTGAAGATGCGGCTGCAAGCCGTAACTTGCATCTTGACAGCTCCCCAGTCAGGTAGAGGGTCTCAACATGTTAAATTTTGTCAGTGTGAAGGAGGGTTTGGCCAGAAATACACATGCTAGAAGATATATCTTGTGGCAGCAAATCCCAAAGGCAGACCACCAGGGGCTTCAAATCTCATTAGTGCAGAAAATGCATTCTCAGCTATCACTGATGGTCTCTGGCATCAGGCACATACTTCAAAAAGCACAAAGAGAGCAAAACTTCAATAAAGCCACTTCATGGGCTTTCAGCAGCTCTATTCCCTCTCTAGGAAATCTCCCAGCTATTCTAAACTGCACTGACACAGCTGAACCCAGGGTTGGGTACACCTTAGTGCCAAGCCAGGCTGCTGCTTCATAGCAGGGCCCAGCAGAAGCCACCACTCACCCAACACACAGACCAACGCATCATAAGCTTTTCAGCAAGGAGAAAAACCAGATACTGAGGCTAACTACTCTTCCCAGGGATCAAACCAGTGCACACTGAATCATTCAAAAGGCTGATGCAGGGTCAACAGGACACATGGTACCACATGGGCAGCAGGTCAGCCTGGCATTTAACCACTCCTCTGCCTTTGCTTCATTCCTGCTAAGGAGGTTGTGGCAGATCTGTTTGAGAACACAGCAGCACCTTCAGCCTTTTCCAAGAAACCTCACATCCTCACTACAGCCACAAAGAGGAGACCAGCACTGGTCCAAACACCACATGTTACAGACCCAAATATTCTTCAGCTGCACCCTCCTCCTCTCAGTACACTCACCAGCAAAAAACTGCTGCTTTCCCTGGTGACACTAACCTACTTCTCTGTCAAACCCCCAACATGACCATGATTTTTTCCTGGGCTTATGGATTTGTAGCCAGTGCTGCTAAGCATCTCTTGTAAGAGGACCAAGCGTGTGCAGCAGCAAATGGCACTGCACAGGGTCTGTCCTGCAGCAGTAATAGAGACAGACATTGATATGAGATGAATCTGAGCAACTCCATATAAAACAAAACTCCGGTATCCGAAGGCCTGGTTTCCTACTGAGCACAGCATCCTCTGTTTTCCGTGTGCTGAGCTACCCTTACATTTCCAGCTCAGCCTACAGATGAGCGATATTTAACTTATACAATAGCAGGTGCTAGGATTTATTTTTTTAAGGAATTCACAGCAGTATAATGTAATGTAGAGATAAATTACTGTCATGCTAAATCTGCTTTCTGATCCCACCCCCCACCTCACATTCCTCAGATAAACTGACACTTATTATTTCAGTAAAACGGTGATGTTACATACGCCTCTGTGTATACAGTGAGATAATACATTTGAATTATTTCTAGATGCTCTGATGCAGAAAAAATGTATGAAAGCAAGTAAATTTCAAGTTAACTTTTCCTCACTCTGAAGTTTCTACTGAACTCAAAGCTTAGCTGGCAACTCTGCATTTTCCTAAGCTTGCCCACTGCATTATAAACGATTTACTGCATTATAATGCAGCATGGGAATTACAGATATTTTGCTGTCACTTACATGCCAGTCTCCCACAGATAGTCCACAGAAGAACTGTTTATGACCTGTATCCACCAGATCATCACTGACCTAAGCTTCAGCATGAGACTGCCTAAAGGCAGATGTCTTTCAAGGAAAGCATGAAGCTGAACGCACTGGGGGGGGAAAAAAAATCTATATATATATTTTAAACGGCACTTGTAGAATCATGGAATCATTAAGGTTGGAAAAGACCACTAAGATCATATAGTCCAACCACCAACACATCCCCACCAACCCATGCCCCTAATTCTACCCACCTACACTGAAAAAGGATATGTTTACATAGCTAGTCGTTACAAATTTCCATTTAATAACTTCTAAGTCTTCCATCTTTATTTCGTATGGCTTCATTGCTGCACAGTGTTAAGTTAACATCTCCCTTCAAGCTCAATTGCAAAGCAATGTGACTGGCTGAGGATCTTTCCAGGGAAAACAAGATGCATAAATATAACAACGTCATCTGAAAAAAATGATGAATTATAATTGAAATCAGCAGCTAGAAATCTAAAAATCTGTATTCTTCTTGCAATAATTTTAGCAAAGGATGTATATGTTATCCCCAACAAACTGGAAAATGTACTTAGTGGAGCGTGCATGTTTCAGCACTATTTAAACAACAATGTAATCACTCATAATTTAAGTACAACTTTCCAAGCTACAATAATTAAAACTCTTTTGTTTACCTCTATGGCAGAGAAGATGAGAATTTTTTCCAAGATATTTGCTATAAACAACTGATTTTTATGCACATTTAGGCACCTGCAGGCACAAAATGGCATTTCACCAATGAGGTATCACAATATGTCAAAACCCAGGCAACTATTTGCCTTGTTTGGTGAGTAAGCACCTTCAAACCTTGGTCTTCCCTCCTGCAGCACTTTTTGACTTGGAGAAATTCCATTATCCAAATAAAAAAAATGTTCTGCAGCAGCTTACAAGCAACATCATAAAAAAAACACTGGAGCAGTATTTACATTTGGCAGCAACCTATGGAGAAAGGCAATGGGAGTGAAAAGGCATCACACGTTGCATGCAGATGTGCAAAACAGATGCATGGTGGAGAGCGTTCAACCCTGCTATGTATAGGCTGGTTCAAACCAAGTTGCTACGCCCCAGCACTTCACTTTCTTGCAGCCTGTTTTCTCATCCCTGAGACGTCTCCAAACTGGAACTTCTGGTACATTGAAGTACCTTGAGAACATCACCAGACCAACATCATTTTGTCCTTCTGGTAGTTAATACTCATTCTGCTCGCTCACTGACAAAAGAACACTAAATTAAAGATGAACAAATCTCTTGTTTGTGCCAGTAAAAGTTACGAGTCATGTTTATGATCAAAAGCTTCAGAGATTTCTCATTTAAAAAAATTTTTTTTTTTGCAAAGAGCTCAGAGTCTTACAATAATCACAATCACTTATGCAAGTGCTTATATATTAACTGCATTGCTAGAGTTGGAGGTGCTCAAGGATGGGTTGGATGAGTTCCTGGGAGCCTGATCTGGTGGGGGCAGCCAGCCCATGGCACAGGGCTTGGAACTGGGTGATCTTTAAGCTCCCTCCCAACCCAAGCCACTCCATGATTCTATGACCAGAGTTAACCCATGGAAGCTACATGGTAAGCACGAGTCTACTCAAAGGATTGTAGCTTGACTTTCCCCAGTTCGCCACTGGAAATGGAAGGCACATTATTTACTTAGGAAAAAAGGTTTTGCATTTCTGTGAGTTCCTGCTGTTCTAATGAGAAAACTAATTTTTTCAACAGAAGCATCAAGCTTATAGCTCCACAGGGGGGTGGCTGCAAGATACTGTAAAAAAAGCAAGCCATCAGTTTTTAACAGATGCAACAGTAAGGCCTGACTTGCTGCTTCAGCCTTCTCAGCATTTTGCAACACAATTTCTTGCATGAGGAAACAAATTTTAAAAATAAGAGAAAGTCATCTTTCCTATTTAACATATTCAAGCTAAGAACAAAAAGAGAAATAGATGCCTGAAAAGTAAGTTACTTCATTTGTGGAGATGTTTCTGTTAACATTAACAAGACTATAAATATAAATCTATATCCAGCCATCTAGCTAATCCTTGCTGGAGTTATTATGACATACGTAAGTAAATAAATGCACACGGAGAACCACGTGCAGACTCATGCCCTCCGTTGAACCTGGAAAACATTTTTAATGTTATGACCCCTCCTGTAAGGCCAGTAGCACTCTGATGGCAGCATCACTGCATGAAGTCTCTTTCCATGCTGCGAAGTCCCAGCTGCAAGCAGTTTTGAGCAATGTATAGAAAGGCAGCCCTCTGCAGAGAATCTGGGTGGTTTGTTTTCCTTGTAAATACGTATTTTTTTTACAGTAGAAATATTGCAGCTTCAGTATCTGTCATGATTCTGCAACACTTACAAGCATGGTCCTGTGTATGGTTTGCTAAAGGCTGAGTCCACGCAGATGGAAGGTTCACTACTGTGCAGAGGAGAGATCAAGGCCAGTGGCTTGGGGACTGTGAATCAGAGCATTGCTCCATTCTGTTGTCACACATTCTAATACCACAATAGGAAGAAAGAAACTTACTGCATCAAGAAAACAGTTCTGCACTGGCACAGAGGCTATACAATAGCACAAGGAAATCCACTACTTATGTCTAAACTCCAGCCTTCTGAAATCCCAACTTTTTATTCATTATCAGAATACAGCTCTGAAACAGTGGCTAAGCAACAAATGGAACTGGAAAACACTGCATTTCAGTACATCAGGCTAGCAAGACTCATTTTAAATATGAAATATAAATAAACATCACAGAAGTTTCATCCTGCAAGCCCCGCAGTGGAGAACTTGTGATAGAACAACACTGGTTGGTCCTGGTGAGCACTGGGCCCTAGAAAACCTGGGCCCAAGGAGCTTCAAGTCCAGGGAAAAAGTTTATGCTACTCCCTTTGTACCAACCATGTGCTTACAGAGTAGATCACTATGGCCTGTTTGTCAAATAGTAAGGAAATATTTTAAAATGAGAGTCTCATAAGAAATATTTATTTTTTCACTTCAGAAATAAGCTAGGGTAATAAATAATTTCTACATACAGAAAATATGACAATGGCAGTTATCACCTCCCAAATGCATTTTTTTTTTTTTTTTAATTTGAGAGATGTCTGATATTTTCCATTATGATTGAGGCTACAATCAAATAAATTTATAGGTCAAATTCTGCCTCACACAACATCTTGGAAGACATTTTGCTCTAACCCAGGACTGGTTTAATGCTACTTACATATATCAAAGAATTAGTCCAAAAAAAAGTGTTCATGTCAATGTGGATAATCCCATTTTTATGCTGGTACTTCAGGCATAGCTTTGGAGAGATAAATAAAGAATTCAAATTTCAAATGTTTGTTTACCTCTATTTCTTCTGAATAACTTAATTTAATCTATTCTGTGTGAGAAAGCTGGCATCTGATTTTGTCAGTATGTAATGTTAAATTCCAGGTGATAAGAATTGATAAGAATTACAGGTACACAGCAACTATGAAATCAAAGCCCATTGTGTCTAACACAGGGCTTTTAAGAACAGAAGCATCCAAAACATCACTACAAATTACTTAGCTTTTCAGACATAATTAAATTAAACCATTTGTATGTGTGTGTGCTCTTGCCTGTATGCATCCCTACGACTGCAAAATGTAAAGCAGAGCAATTTTAGCCAAATATTGGTGAGGTATAAAACTTAATTACTCCTAGATACAGTTAAGTACGTCCTTCAATGAGCATATAAATTGAACAAAACCATGCCTGCAAATAATCAGGCACTGAGTTTTCTGGCTTTCATAAGATTTCATTAATACATTAATAAAGGTTTTACATAATTTATACACTCAGACATATACATATATTTTATTTGTAATGTGTGCTTACATACAAACATACATATGCACGTGTGCAAACGTGTACACATACCACGCACACTCACATCCCCTTATCTGCACACATTCAAATTCTTTAAAGAAAATGCCACCATTTAAAAAGCACTGGAATTGGTTCCAGGTTCCTACATGACTTTAGACTGATAGAAAAAGGTAGTTTACATCTATTGCATATGAAAAAAAAAAGGAATTTACAACCAAAAAAATTTTTTTTAAAAAAAGAAAGAATGCACCTCCTCCCCCCCCCACGTTACCAGCTTTCCAATTAGGAATCAAAATATTGGAATGAATCTGGTATAAATACAATATGCAATGGCAGCTTTGTATTTTTTTCAAATAAATTTCAATCTTTTGGAATTTAAATTAGTACCAATTTATGGCGAGCAAAAGTTCTTTCATAGATAAGTCACTGCTGAGCTCCTTTCTTCTTCTGCTCCAGCTCCTGCAAGCGTTCCTCCCGGCACTGCGCATGCTGCGTTCCCACTTTGTGCGCTGTCTCGGTGGCTGCAATGTCAATCTGTGCATATCTGGATGATCCACTCCCTGAAATGCCAAAGGAAATCATATTGTAGTCCATAGCCTTCATGCAATCTGAGGTAAAACAGACTCAGGTTGAAGCTATTGCTAGACTTCTCCCATAGATTTCCTAGGTGATCTTGGTCTGGTATTAAAATAACCTCTATAAAGGAAGCAAGATGATAAGTACGACAAAAAACCTCACAAGCTTGGTTATCTAATTATTTTAGGTATCTGATTTTTTTCAAATAAGCACTTGAATCACTTGTATTTATGCTCCACATTTCAATCTCCACCCCTCTTTCTCCCAGTAGAAGACAAAATTGAACAGAACAACAATTTAGTCTGATATTAGAGAATAAGGTAGACGAAAGTTGCTCTATCTGTTCAGGAGCAGAGCAGTTCTGTATTGATATAGATACACCACTCTTGAAGAAGGAAAAACTTCAATATGAAAAAAATATAATACTTACAATCATTAGGAGCACCTCCAAAGTTCCACAGCTTGAGCATGGATTGGTGTTATACAAACAGCAAAATTAATGATAGTTTATAGAAGCAAGGCTCTTCACTTTTAATGCCTTGGTTCACTGTCTTTAAAATGAATATAAAACATGACTTCCACATCTCAATGGAGTGCTATACAGAGACCCAAATTTAAGGTCTGGGAGAAGCTTAGAATTACTTACCTAAAGTTATATGGCACTGAACAACAACACTAAGTAAATAAATAAAATAAAGGGAAAAATTGAAAGATACTTCAATAGCAAATGCGTTGAATTGAATGCCAAATCCCTGCTAAGAGTTTTCTGTAAGGGGGAATGAATCTGTAAGTGACTGTACATGGTAGCTATAATTCACACTTGTGGGCTAATTCTCCAAGACAAGCATTACAAGAAAAATATCCACAATATACATAGGGGTAGGTGAGGTGAGTGGGAGGGGAGGGAGATGTAATCAAGTGCTTCTGCTTTCCTGCAACCCTCATGGAAAGCAGACAGAAAACACCAAGTTCTATTCTTACACATTTGCCATGTGGCTCTAGAGGCATTATTTTAATGTTGTTAGAAGCAAGCCCAGTACACCTACACCTATGACCCTTCTGCTCAGTCCAAGCAAGAAAAGTTAAGCAAGTGTAGTCTTAATGCATGCAATGAAAGTCTTGAGAAAAATGAAAGAAATTACTATCTGTCAAACTTCAGAGACACTCAGTTTAGGAGGAGTTCATATACAGTGCAACATTCTAGAGAACTTTGCTTGTTATGTCTTTTCCAAAAGAGTTGACATTTACAAGAATTAGTACAAAGGTACACAAGTACAAATTCCTCTGTTAGCCAGAGGCTGTGGGCAGATGAAATTAAGATATGGACAGAGAAATTAAGATTTTCCATACCACATATAGTTTGTAACGCTGTACCCACTGCTGTCTAAATAGTCCTGTAGGCTTTCTTACCTCTTATGCTTGTGCTGGCTTCTTGAAGTTCCAGTTCCATGTAATGAAGTTGTTTTTTGGAAGTAGGACTGACAGGAATATTAACGTAGGTGGCTGTCTCACTGTGGGGTCGATCTGATGTAGGGACATCAGCTGAATAACCTACAGCCCCTTCTAAAATAAGTAACGTTATTATAGACACTGTTTGCAATGACCAGTGAACCATTTCATAAAACACACCATTCTGTCAAATGTTCTGAAAGCAAACATTCAGCAGTAAAAACTCAGGTCACCAAACAGCGCATTCTTCAGTCCTAAACAGGACATAAGGTTTCTACAAAAAATATCCTCAGAGAATGATCAAGTCAGGATCCATGCAGAAGGCCACAGACCATTGCTAGTGATCTCATGTTGTGACTAAAAGCAAACACTACACAGAAATTCGCTAGCAGACACAATGTATGCAACACTATTAACCTGAATTGGAGCTGAAAGCACCTGGGAGTAAAGCCTTACATGAAATTATCTGTCGTAGGAAGATGTGGACTACTATAGCATCCAGAAGAAAGCAACCAAAATCACTAGAAGTTTAGAAAGTCACAAAAACAGACTGAAGACAGCTTAATGCTTGGGGAAAACAAGCTTATGCAGACATTCCGATCAGAAATCACAGAATGGTTCGGGTTAGAAGGGACCTTTAAGATCACCTAGATCCAATCCCCCTGCTATAGGCAGGGACACTTCCCTCTAGACCAGGTTGCTCAAAGCCCCATCCAGTCTGGCTTGAGTGCTTCCAGGGTGGGGACATCCACAGCCTCTCTGGGCAACCTGTTCCAGTGCCTCACTACCTTCACAGTAAAAAATTTCTTTCTAATATCTAGTCTAAATCCACCCTCTTCCAGTTTAAAGCCATTTCCCTCATCCTGTTTCTACATGCCATTATAAAAAGTCCCTCCCCAGCTATTATCTGTACCTAATACCTGTAGGTCCCCTTCAGGTATTGGAAGGCCACTGTAAGGTCCTTCTGGAGCCTTCTCCAGGCTGAAGAGCCCAACTCTCTCAGCCTGCCCCAGTAGGGAAGGTTCTCCAAGTGGGAATAGATCATCTAATAAAAGACTTAAATTTCAGGAAAAAAAGGTAAATTAAATGTGGGAAAGTCTTTCTAATAGTAAGGAGCAAAAGAACATCGAAGGAAATCTCACAAAATGTGAAGAATTTCATCATCTAGAAATTTCTGAAAAAGAGATAGACTAACACCAACCAGGAAACAGTTCTCTATAAAGTGATTCTGTCTTACAGAAGATTTTGTTATCTATTAGATGGCTTAGCAAGACCTTCTCTAGCCAAATTTTCAGTTATTCTAATTTTGCCAGAAGTTAAATACAGAGAGATCTTGGTGGCTTCATTTGTCCATGTCTCTGTTGTACAACTGAGTCCAGAACTGGACATGGCAGACCAGATCTCACCAGTGCTAAGTAAAGCGGAAAGTTCATCTCCCTTGACAGACTGGCAATGCTTTAACTAATGCTGGCCATGATTCTGTCAAATTAATTTCCAGAGAAGACAGGTTTTCACTGTTGTTACTGCATGCATACTATCACTCATTTCATTTTGGTTTTCTTTTGAAAGCTTGTTAAATTTACTTTAAAAAGCTATTTCTCATTTTCTTCCACATTTATCTTTGGCAAGAAGCAATGTTTTTTTAAAACTTTTTGGCCAATGACTAAAGCCAGCTTTCTCCAGAACCAGAATAAAATAATCCCACGACCGTGTATTTATGTATATCTGAGTAAACTGATGGAAAAATAGTTGTCATAGGCAAACAGAAGATTCAGTGCCACAAGCATTGTCAGTCATCACTTAAAGATGTACTAAATTGAAGAAGAGATAAAAAGATGCTTATGTGTAGTTCACCAACTATTATGAGGGGACACAATCACAAGGGATTTCCATTTGGAAAGTTCATCTCAAAAGGAAACATAAAATCCAGTGTGAAATAAGGAAACATAGCACAGTTTTTGAGCACTAAGGACTAGAGAGAGATCCCCTCAGAGCCTGCTGTTAAGATGGGATAGAAGAGTGCAGAGAAAAAATGCTATTTCTTTCTGTTTCTTCCTCTCCCTAAAGTTCTCCCATTAAACCCTTCCATAACCACACATAAAACTCACACCAAGATTTTACTTTTCCAAATCACTGCTTTTCTTTTTTCTCCATTCAGGCACTGTTGGAGTGAGAACGGAAAGGCAGTAGGTGGTCAAGGCTTTTCAGAGTACGGAAGATAATGACTTCATCCAAGGATCCAAGGAGAAGCAGCTGTGAATAACCATAAAGGGAAACTTTCTCTTCTTTTTGGATGGCAGAGGGAGCTTGTACAAGTTGGGTAACATTAAGAGTTATCAGAAGCTACATTAAGATCCAGGATAATGCGGTCTCTCCAGACACAAGCTATTTAAGTCAAAGCACTTTGGTCCAAGATTTTAAAAGCCTTGAAAGCTGACCAATTTTCTAACAGATATTCATTAAAAAAAAAAAAAAAGAAGAAGAAGAAGAATAAACCACTACCATCAGAGGAAATATCTAACTGTACCAAATTACCATTCTCAGAAATAGGTGAATGATTCTGTCTAATGCATGTCAAAGAAACTTGGCCTGACCATGCCAAAAGGATTTGGCAGAACAAGAGCACTGAAAATCTGCATCCCAAATAGTTGAATTCATAAACAGATTACAACCTTAAGGCTGATACGGAGTCATGAGTAGTCATGAAGAAAAATGTTTTTGAAGTCTTTCCATTCATGGTTAAAGTGAAGTAGCAGGATTTTAAGTAAAAGGTCCTCAAAGTTACTGAACATGTAAGCTAGCAAAATCCTCTATAAAACTAAGCAGCAGGAAGGCAAATCTTATGCCTGGTGATTATCTGAAGAACTGAAAAAAAAAAAAAAAAAAAAAAAAAAGAACACAAGGAGAAAGAAACACTAATTAGTAGATCTTTGTGCAAGAAAGAAAAAAAGAAAGCCCTGGCAAAACTCAAAATTTCTTCCTATACCTTGACATACAGAAAAATAAAATTCATATACAAAATTAAGCAAATTGGAATAAAAGTGAAGGAAAGTGAAAGAAAGTGAAGAAAAACTTGTTTTTCTTGTTTAGACTATGCTGTTTTAACAGAAACTTTGATTTCTTTGTAAACTTGGGTTTTCATTTTTTCTTTGCATAAAAATATCATTAAAAATGAAAAACTGGTTTATCTTTGCTTGCAGAAAAAGGTTTATTTGAATAGAACAAGGGAGTTAACATCTCAAAATAAGAAATTAAGGCATGCAGAGTGCTATGGACAAAGATGATGCTTTCTGAGGTCCTTTCTGGATGGACTGAGGTAGAAAATCCTTATGAAAAGGTTCAGAATACAGGATTTGTGTGGGATTTGTGGTCATTATGGAGGGAGAATTTGGAAGAAAAAAAAAGACCTGAATCAGCAATTACAGTCTGGAGACATTGTGAAAGAACTGGCAGGGTATCATGTTTGAGGAGAAAGGGAGGAAAAGATAGAAACAAAATTGATAGTTAAATTAGTAGTGAGAAGAGTGAAACAGGAAATCAAGTGGTACTTAAAAGAACTGGGGAGTTGGAGAAAAGACAAGGAAAGGAAAAGATAAGAATGACTGGGAAGGGGAGAGAAAACATACATTTGAAAGTGATGTTTCAGTCTTACAGTGTTTGTTGCTCACAGAAAGAAAACACTACAAACTTTGCTTGGTATATATGTGTGTGTGTATGTATATGAGTGTGTTTGAGTCTGTACACACTTGCAAAACTAACATCTGCAATGATCATCACTCAAAAAAATCAACATTTAGAAGACATCACAGCATAAAAGAAAAAAAAATAAGCAGAAGTTAGCTTCCTCTGATGCAATTGGTTGCAAAGATCTTTAGAATCACTGAATCATAGAATTGCCCAGGTTGGAAAAGACCTTAAAGACCATCAAGCCCAACCACAACCTATCCATACTATCTTCATTCTAACAACTCTCCACTGAATCATGTCCCTGAGCACCACATCCAAACGGTTTTTAAACACATTCAGGGGTGATGACTTGGTTTACTCACCAGGTTCCTCAGAGCTAGTAGGAGTTCCAGGTTCTGCAGGTAGTGTCAGCACCTCATAACCACCTTTAGGACCTACAACAGAGGAACGCCATCAACAGTTTAGAATTCAGCAATTTGCACAATGTAAACAAAGCATCTGATTTTTCTGGTTTAGACTCGTGATCTGCTAGTCTAAACAATCATACCAGGAAAAAAATCTCAGGAAGTAGCTAGTGTTGACTTTTTTGGTGGTGATGTCAATGTTTTTTAATGAGAGCGAGTAAATAAACATGGTCATTTTTACATATATATATATATACATAGAAGGGCACTAAAGTCAACAGTGTGTTTTGCTATACATCAATGTGGGAGCAAAGCTGTCTTGAATGTATGAATCAGGGAGAAGTGGGTGGGTGATCTTGGGAGCATTTGGAAGACTCTTGTTAAAATTCCACCTCCAGCATGATGGATAACTTCTTGATTTCTGACAAAGCATTGTAGAAAGTGCTTAAAGTGTCCCTTGCAAGGACAACTTTGCATTTCAAGTGCAAATCATCATCCTTGCAAGAAGCCAAGCTGTGCAACATCACTGGTGCTTCCAGAGCAATAAGATGAAAAAGATTCCCAGGTTCCACCATGATCATGGACTCCACTCAGTTTCACATAAGATAAGCTAAAACACTGTGCTCTTAATATGAATACATTGGTATTAATGTTGAATGACAAACACAAATTTATCTGCAGATGTTTTCTCCTTCATTATCATGAACTATCTTTAAATGTGCTGTTTTTTTCCCCATCGTCTCATTGCTAGGATTTCTCATGGCCTAAGGTGGGTTTTTTTGGTGGGTATCCTTTGTTAAAATGCTGGCAGCATTATACTGCTGTGAATAAGATTGCTGCCTATGCTCTGACACTTATCTCATCTGTCACTGTCTCTTCTAAACTTATCCCATCTGTCAATGTCTTTCTAACAAAACCCTGCGCATCAAAAAGCCCAAAGATATGTAAGTGTTACAAAAGGGAATCAAATCATATATTAACATTTCCTAAAGTTTAAAATATTTTAAGTCTAAATAAATTTAAACTTACATGCACACACATACTTCATAACCACTTATACCTACCAGCTTGGAGACTGTGCCCTCTCTGTAGTTTCAGAGACCCAGAAGCTGCCATGACAGAAGAAGCACCTGTTTCCAAAGAGAGAAAATCATATTAAATCTAAATATCTTCTGCTATTGTTAGATATCTGCTGTGCATCAGCAGCCTTAGTAAATGTTTCTGAAGCATCAAGAAAAATTTCCATAAGTATTGTAAGTCTTTGGCACTTGCTCTTGTAAAATTTCATGCAGTTGCTAATTGCCCAACCTTCTAATTTGTCAAGATCTCTCTGCAAGAATTTAAAGCTGTCATTAAATTCTTCTCCGGTGGATCCAAAACCTTCTAAAGAGAACTGTACTACACTTCAGTAGTCCACTGTCCAATGCTAAAGGATCTAGCTTCAGTGGGGTTTGAATCTGGGTCACAGCTGGTTCTTGTGAAATATTGTTCCAAGTGTTACAGCCAGAAAAGCTTTACCAAGGACATATCGGATGGCACAGTAACTCTTCTTTCCTCTGCTCTATTCAGATCAGCATGAAATTCTTGAAACAGCTTTAGATAAGGAAGTGTAAGGGAAGATGAGCTGGAAACTTGGAAACGTACAAACAGGTACACATGTAATGCAGTTTGTCTACATCCATATATTCAACAGGCAAACTGAACAGCATTATACTCAACTTTTCATTATCATTAGCTGGCCACGAATTTCTTGTCTACTGTTCTTACAGTGGGCACCTTAATCAAAATGAATGGCATTTGCTTCCTGAGATGAATAATTTCATGGGACCTTCTTGTGCAAGTAATTGGTACTTAACAGAAATGAAGTAGGAGGCTCTGCTTATGAGCAACCCTGCCACTGGTGACAGGGCAGCTGTACAACGTGCTGCAGGGTGCTTGAGATCGTATAAAATTAACACTGTCTTCTAAACCAATGAATAGTCTCTGAGCAGGTGAGACAATTCTTTGCAAATTGTTTTTAAAATAGCAACCAAAAATTAACATAATTCATATGTAACACAAAGAAATTCTGTAAGATAAATAGCAATCTTTAGTACCTAAGAAATCTGCATGACCTGGGAACGAAAAAGGTACTTTCTTCACTTCTTCCCTGCACAGAGGATACACTTATACAAAATAATTTCTAATTCTAATAGTTTTCATGCTTGGAAAATTATTCCTACACTTTTATAAAATAAACAAAACACATCATTTCATTTGATAAGGATGATAGATTTAAAAAATAGCAAATATCTCAAGAATGCATAACTGAACTAAAACCTCTTATCTTGCAGGGGGTTTTTTGTACTTAAAAGCATATCTAGTGTAATCCAAGGTTACAAGAATGACAATGTGCCACATCAAGAAAACCGTATTAAAAAAATGAGATCAGATTGTAGAACTTTTATGTACCCTGGTGAAATCTTAAGCAACAAAAACCTTTTTATTACACTTCTGTCTTTAAAAAGACTGCTAATATAAATAAATGCAAGAACAGGACAAAGAAGTATGACATCCCAGACTAAGTCATTCATTTATACTTCTCATCACCAAATATCCCCTTCCTGCATTGTTAAGGACATCAGAACGTGCTTTATAAGATTGAAAGTCCCATCTTACTTTGAAAAGACAACTACAGCTTTATGCTAAATGTAGTTTTATCACAAACTGATTTTTTTGCCCCTCAAAAGTTTTTTATAATTCAGTAGGAATTGTTTTTCAGGAAATTGGGATTTTGAAGAAATGTTTGTAGGATTTGTGAAAAGCACACAAGAGAGGGAAGTAAATGTAAAACCATAAAGATTCCAGTCCATTTAATGTCAGTTCGAAATCTTCCCCCATGGAGCTGCTTTAAAACAACCATGTTAATGCTTCAGGATTTGAAGTATTGCATTTTCCTCATCTTCAAATCAGGCAAATAACAAATATTTACATAGTCAAATCGCTCATGGAATTTTTGTGAAGCTTCTAAACGTATTATGTTAACACATATCAAGAGAGATTGACCGATTTTCTCCCTTCTTCTTCATGGTGCATACGCATTTCTTTATGCCCATTCTCCTAGAATAAGCACAGTTTTCAGTACATGTACCACAAGAACCAGCCATGGAAAAGAATACAAATGAGGAAACCTGGAACACATGTAATAAACCAAGCCCACGTAGGCAGGTTTTCAACTCTTGTCACCTACTCTTGCACAGTCAGTAAGAAGACACATGTAATATGCAAGCAAACACCTCTTACTGCCCAGCCTCTCTGCCTTTATAGAGTAGGTCACAGAACAAAAGAGTGTCATCAAGTCATCCTAAAACAGGGAACAGGAACCTGCTGGATCTGCTCAGCCCAGAGGGTGAACCAGCAGCATATGATTTTGTGGCAATGACTTTTCGTCCTTAGTCAGGCCCCTAGAATTCAGATTATTCTCTAAGGCCATGGTTTGGTTTGCAGATGCAATTAGCAATTCTGCCAAGCTTTTATTTTTCTTCTGCTATGGAATTATTTTAAGTGCACTTTTAAAATAAAGTACGATCAAGAAAGAGTGTGGCATATTATGGCAGGGTTTTATTAGTCAGCTTCTGATAATAATAATGCTGTTCTGTTGCAATATTTAGCCCTGTGACATACAGCTTATTGATGATGGACACTGTTGGGCACACTTTACTGACTCAACAGCAGTATCACTGTAAACTTTGCCTTCGTACATATGAAGCACTGTTGACATGTATCCTTTAAAATTTTTTAATTATATATTATTTCCAGCCCAAGCAGTGTGGGCCACATTCTTCTCAGACAGCACAGTCAAAAAGAAAAGAAGAAATTTAAGAACCTCAAAACGTAATGATATTCAACTATACTGCTTCCAACAGAGGATGTTTCATTACTTCTTGACTTAATTTCCCATTCAGCTCTTGATTTTTGTAATGGCAGAGCCTGCAGCACAGAAGCACAGACTGATCAGAGTTTCCAACACAAATGTTTCATCTGGATGTTAAAATGCCAAAGTATTTACAAATACTTTTTAGCTTGCCATTTGAACTAGGTATGTTCCTTTGAAGTTGCTTAGTTGATTGCTTAGCATATGTAACTAGCAATAGAAAGATAACATTATCACCTACATTCTCTAGCAATAAATTGAAAAACATTCAAACAATTGATCCTGACTAACCCCATTTGTTGATACAGAACTGAAGCATTCAAAAGCAAAAATTGTTGAACAGAACAGGGGGCACATAGAGCAGTGAATGAGGTGAGTTTGCATTTGTATGTTGTATTTGAATGGAAAAGAAAAAAACAATACAATCATTTCTGTGCTAAAAATACGAAGTATTTGTGACTAAGTGGATTGGTACAGGAGCAAACAACCCTACTGTGTCAGGTCACTGTAGAATTATGCACATTTGTATGCATATCTTGCCACCAAGCCAGATTTTGAAAGTAATTACCTCAAATTAACATGCTTCTATGTTATCCGTGAATGTGGATTAAAACAGCATATAAGAGAAACATAGAGAAGTTTTAATGCTGCTCCTTTAGTCCAACAGAACTGTTTGAATTACTGCTTGGCACCAAGGGACTGCTTGGTACAAGCCTAGAATTAAAGACAGTAAAAGCAAGGAATTGAAGGGCTACAACATTGTTTTAAAGCTTTGTGATACCAAGTTTAGTTACACTTAAAATGTTCACGTATCTAAAAACAATACTCCCAAATGAAATATCTCAGGATAATAAAAAAGGAACAGAGAAAACGTGGGTTTACTTTGCATTGTGAAGAACAGTACAGTATTGAAGAATGAAGCACAAATATATAATCATAGAATTACGTGTAGCTAATGAGACTATCTGAGAGATGAAAACCCTACAAAGATGGCTAAAAATTTCAGTCACTGCCTTTAGATGCTTCATCTGTCTCAGGTATTGTATACTAAATACAACAAGTATTCTGTTTTTGCAGTGTGCAAAAACCCACCCAAACTTTTACCAGTGTAGTCTCTTCCCTTTCTTTTGATCCTAAAATCTGTTCTTTAGTTGCTTTTCCAGATTGTTTAATGATAGATATTAACAAAATAGCTAACTCCTTCACCTGCATGAATAGTATGAGATCAAGTTTTTGCCAAGTAATGCTTGCACCCACGCTTAATTTGCCACTGAAATTAATGTAGAAATATACCCACTACGCACAGCTATAGAACCCTCTGTATTTACACACATTTCCATTATAAGAATTTCTCTGGTTTCCTTGGGTTGGTTAGAGAACTAAAAACCTGTGTTATTAGAAGTAAGGAGAAAATCAGAGGTAATGATACAATTTGTGCTTCTATTTAGACTTCTATAAATCAATAGAAATTCCACTGACTCGAGTGGAATAACTAGGAACAAGATCTGCTACATGCTTTTAGATTTACTCCTGCTAAGACAGACAAAGGAGTAACTTATGACCTTTTTCAGAGACATCACCTGATTCTGCTATCTCACTGAATTTGCTCACACAAGCAGCAAGCAGCTACAATTCTTTCTGTACTTGCTAAGATTTTTAAAATTCACAAAGAATCCCAAACACGAAATGTTCTGTTGGGAACAATGTACCTGGTATATTAAGTGAATCTACTGAATTATCAAGTGAACAGGCAAACAATATAAAGGCATTTAAGACACTATACAACATCCCTGTACAGACAACCCAAAGGAATGAGATGGGCACAGTACATAAAGCCAAACATACTTACAGACTTGTGAAGTATTATCTATGTAGTAAAATAATGATAATAAAGAAGCCAGACCACTCTGACTAAATGAAACAGCAAACTCCAGATGATCAACACCTTCCACTGATAGGGAGATTTACAACGCAAAGACAGTCAGTGTGTTACCTTTGCCTAAATCTTTCAAGGCAAGATACTCAGCTTCCTTCCTTTACTGATTTATCTGTCAATTAGAATTTCTGCAGACAAGAGAGAAGCAGCTCCATGTTTTGTCTGGTAAGGATACGCTCCTGGGTTTTTGTGCTATTTAGAAAACATTGTATCTATACTGAAAATACAAATCAAGTTTGCCCTTGGTGTTCATATAGCCTAAAAAGAACACCTTGACTTTGGGGACATAAACAGAAGAAGCACTGCACAGTTTGATAAAGAACCCAATAAATTCAAACTTCTTGATTATAAAGGGAAGGAAAAATTCAAATGCATTAATCTTTGCAACTAAAGACTATAGATTACAGACTACTTCATAAATGCCAGTCTCATGAATTGCAGCAGCAAAACCAACCACAAGCTTCTAAATTAGGGAAGTTCAGTTATTCTTCCTTGAATATAATGCTTTGTTCATCACCATTTGGGTCTTAAGCATCAGTATGTACTAACAAAGTAAATAATTAAGTGGTTCCTACCTGGTAGAGCTGGTAAGACTCCTGGCTGTAATATTGCTGATCCCTTAAAAAAAGAAAAGAAAAGAAAATTTTAGAATCTTTACAAGAAATAGAAACTGTACAAAGTATAGGAAGAATGACAGAGCAAAGCACTTCACCATTACAAAAGCTTAACACATGCTTTTCAAATCCAGAACATGGGCAGTGATTTTTCCAACCTGAAGGTGTTTAGAGTATGCATGCACACCTTAGCAAATGCTAACTTCACTATGACTGCTTTACAATTCCTGTAGCGCACATCATAAGGCTTAGGACAATTGAATTGACTGCAAAAAGCAGCAAATTTGATTTTCAGACAGAGATAATAGCAAGCTGGAGTAACAGGATTAACATTGTGAACTCAGGGTAGGAGGCGTGGGCAGACCAAAGCCTGGTGCATTTGTTTGGTTCCATAAAACCAACACATCCTAGCTTGCAGCCCAGACTGACTTCAGGCTGCCTACAAATCCCACCTGAGACATAGAGGTCTTTGTATCAAAGCTTTGTGTCATCTCAGCTACTTTACCATACTGGTATTGTGGCAGCTGAGGCACTTCAAAGCAGGCAGCTGCAAAGTACCAGTGCCCAGTCACATCCAACAGTAAGCAGATTTCAGAATGTGCAGGCCAGGATTCTCCCAAAACACACACTGTCATTCAGAGATGGTCAGGAACAGTGACACTTTGATCACCTCCAGACAGCACCGAGGCCTTTCATGGGCTGCAACATCAGGGTAGGCTGTAAGGTCAGCCTGCTCTGTGCTGCTGATCCCCATGCTGCCAAGGAGATCTCTTATTTCTGGGCTCTTGGCAAGAGCAAAAATTCATCACCACAATCTATTCTTTTTGATTAATAAATGCATCTTCTGAACTTTGAAGTGAAAAAACACTACCTGGCTACCAGAACTGAGCCATAATGTTCAGTTACACTGAAGTAAAATTCCATTTTATGCTAACACCGGACAGCAATTTTCTTAATTTAAATACACACACTGTGACCTCTGGCCGCTGTTTCCTATGCTTTCCTAAGAAGTGGAAGCTTTTGAGAAATACTCAAGATATACAGGCATCTCTATATAGGCACCGTGTTTACTTCCCCAAATTTCTTAATAGGAAACAAAATAGATTTTTGTATTATAAAGCTCAAGTCATACTAATTCCTACACAATATTTTCTTAGGGCAAACATATGGAGATGTAACATTAATTACATAATGCACTGCTTAGCCCAGAACAAGGTGACACTATGCAGCAAGATGGAAGGAAAAGAAATTCACAGAAATACCTGAAAAAAATGTGAGCACTGAACCAACCCATACATAGCATTTTCTGTGAAATAATCTGTCAGGCTGCTTTCAAATGGTGCTGCAGTTTCTTAATCAGAGATTATGTTCTTGATGGTATACTAATTATTTTCCCTTTGTTTACTACTTCACAATCCCTTTTGCTGAGATTCTTTCTAGATTTCAGAAATTATAAATGTAACATAGAAGAATAACTGTCAGTTAGCAACTGGATCCAGCTTCAGTTAAAGTAAGTGAAAAGGCTCTTTCGGTTTTGATGAAACTTGCATGACGTGCAAAACAATAAAAGATTGCAATGATTCTTTTTCAGACAATAAAATATGCATTGAAAAGAGCTTATTTGGACCATTTGGGGTATATTTTTTAAAGTACAGTTTTAAAATGTGTAACACAACCACCCTTGAACAGGGGGATAACACACATCAGACAGGAGATCATCACACAGACATGGAAACTGATCTCTGTGTTTACGGAGATTTTTGCAAGCTGTATGCTTAACATGAGAGACACTGAATATGAGCAACAGCTCATATAGAAGGGGTGGGGTGGAGAGAAACAGAAAAAAGAAATCCCACAATGTTTTATTTAAACACATATATCTGTATGTGTTTAACATAGCAGATGTTATTTGTTTCTATAGTTACTGTATTCCACCACAGAAGATATGGGTTTCAGTGGGGGACAATGCATAATTACCTGTATAAGCAAAGTACAGAGAGCTTTGGAAACTCTTACGGGTATTATATTGTATATTTAAGCACACTTTTCCTTCTTCCAATAATTTATTAGGGAAATATATTAATATAGAATATAAAATATCTCCCTGACTTCATGACTGTGGATATAAAGCAGAATATGCTGTCCCAGAGTTAATAGCTGCTAGCCCAGCTAATAGAATTGAAAGTGGCAGACTGCAGCATCAAAATGCATAACATTCAGATCTTACTAATGAGGAAGGATCTCATAACGTTCAGGTAACTTGTTTTTGCTTTTAAAAATAAAGGATTTTTTGTGTTTGTTTTTTGTAACCAACAGGTTTGGAGAGGTGGAACTGTATGTTACTGCAAGGGCTCAAAAAAAAATTGTTTGAGGATGGGGAAAAAGTCTTCATCTTCTGCCCTTATGTCTCTAGAACTGGTGCAGCTTTGCTGCCGTTCAGGGATTGTGGTTGGTGCGTGAAATTAGACAGCAAGACAAAAAATCTTTTTTGAATTTTTTTTCCATAGATGTATTGCAGACCAGAATATCCTAAACTATGGTAAAAGCAGGGCTAGAAATAACAGACAGAAAACAGAAAGCCTGTAAGGAAGTTATAAGTTCTTTAAAACAGAAAGCATTTGCATTCTCTATCCATAGCCTCCAGACAGGAGTCCTCTTTCAACCTTAGATCTTAGAAGCAGCAGTGATGCACATAAACAAGTAATAAACTGAATAATTTTCACTATAATTGGTTTTCTTCTTAATTTCTAGCAAAGTTATTTATTGCAGCATCAGCTACTATGTGCTGAACAGCACCGTTCCTCCTGTGAATCCAAATGGTAACTACTGGATTTATTTGCAAATTAAGTTCAGTTATTTTTTTCCTCTTCCCAGCATTGCGCAGGTAAGAACCAGGAGGATTAAGAAGCCTTCCAATGCTGAATGCTTCAGTTGCAGAAAATTTTTTTTTGCAGTGTGCTGCTTAATTCAACTTAAAACCTGTCAGCAGGGTCTTCCGACTTCTGCATGTGAGCACAGAATTCAAGCCTTCATTTTCTGTTTATTCTGCACAGAAATAACCAAAAATTAAATGTGTCACTAACTTAAGTACAGTTTCTTCAACAATTGAACTTATTTGATGGCTTGAAATCCTAGTCAGTCTTACAAAATCAATTCTAAATAGCCTTTCATTTAAAAGTACAGGTTAGGTGATTAAGGTATTAATCGATGAAAGTTGGACAGAAAAATCACAATTAATACTTTCAAAGCCATTCGAAGGAGATTAGATGGTACCTGACAAAAGAAACATAAAGGCAAGCAGAAGTTTGATGTAATTTCACACATCTGATATTGGGCAATGATAAAACATCATTGGAATTACAGCAAGATGTAAAGAGAAGAGCAAATAAATAGAAAAAACAAATATGATTACATATAAATGAGTCAGAGATAATAACAAAATAAAATGAGCCTTTTGTTTTCAAGTGATTTTTCAGACTATGAAATTGTTGTTTTCATTTTCATTTCACTGAATTTATTCCATTATTTCTGCAACCATGAAGTCTCCTGCTCTGACCCTTTATGGGAGACTTCACTAACTTACAGTGGCTGCTGCTGAGGCAACTCACTGGACAGAATGGGATCAGTGACTTTAAAGCTTTTTTAATTCTATATGCCTAAGACAAAACATGCTTTTGTCAATAGGAGGAAGTTTTATATTACTGTGGCATAATGTAAACACACAGTTTTCAAACGTAAAGTACAATACAGATCTCAAACTGCCATTACGGCAAAGAAAAAAAATCAGTAGGTGACCTCACTCCTGTAATATGCTTTTGTTATGACTGGTATGATATTCAGACAGTAACTAATGATGTGTTTATTTAAATCACACAGATCTGCTGATACTTATAACATAATTTAAGTCAAATATCTTTCAAACGTAGTTTAGTGCTTTCTTATTATCTCTGACCCAAGAGCTGAGTGCTGAAATATGTGATGCATGGTTAGTTCAAACAACTTCACCACAACACCCACAGTAAGTGGATATGTACCACTTGTATATCACACATCATGAACTATGTGTGCAGGGCTATTTTAACTCTGACAGTGATCTGGCTGCTGTCAGATGACACTCATTTTTTAAGTTCTGCTTCCAAACCTCTTGGGTAGGGTTCAGTGATGGATGTTAGGAAAAGCACTAGTTTGATACGCTGAATCATTATTTATAGATTAGTTTCACTGCCTTAAGCAGAACCTAAACTTTAGCATTTTTGTCTGTTTGCAAACAACCACCATAATACATAATTATTTTTACAATTAAAAAAAAAAAAAAGGATATCTTTTTCCCTGATTTGTTACATTTTTTTCCTCTCTCTTTCCTTTTCATTTTTAATGGTTTTATTTTATTTCATTCACTTTAAATTCCATGAAATATATAGCTTACCAAGTCAGTCTTCATCTGAAGAACATTACCATACACAAATATGAAGCGCAGTATATTCCTCTTTCTCTCTAAAGGGCAAATCACTTTTCACCTTGTTGAGGTTAATTCCTCCTCCTACTGGCCCCAAGGGTATAAAACATACACTTTCAAAGAACAAAAAAAAACATTTTTTTTTTTTTAAGAAAGAGACCAGCTCAGCTCTGCTTCTCTAGATTGTAATATTGAGCTGGGGTCCATCATCACTGGCAAGAGGAATGAAATGCCATTTGCCTGATTACTGTCAATATTTCAAACACACATCATCAGCCCACAGCTTATGTCATTCCCTTTGGGCATCTTTAGAAATAAAGCTTTTCTTTCAGCTGAGCTACTTTTTTTTTTAGTAGCTCCATAATTCTGAACCTAGTAAGAGCCAGATGTACAGTCTCTTAGGTGTCATTTGCATTTGTCTAAGCAGATGCATGAAGCTTTGTCCCACTCTGGATTCTCAGAAAGACTTAACAAAGATGAGAGGGTCTAAGCTTCTTTCTCTGAAAGAGGAAACAGCAATAGTAGCAACTGTTGTCACCACACATATC